GCTTTTTACCAGTTGTTAGCTCTCTGAAACCAAAATATTCTCTTAGCATTTCAGGAGGAAGGATTCTGACATCTAACTGCTCCAACGTAATCCTGACTCTACCATACACTAGTGGTATGTGGGAATCATTTTTAACCTCTCTGACCCTCAGTTTTCCATCTGTAATATGGGGATAATTATAATCATATGGGGGTTATTCTGATTAAATAAGGCATGAAAACACTCAACACAGAGTTTGGGAGGTTTTAGGGGCTCAATAATTGCTAAGTTCTTTTCACTGTTATTATTTTTGTGGCCATGTACATTTTTATAATATCTCTTATGGCTGGCAGCATTCATAAGGTAGTTTCTAATGTTTGAAATGTATTCACTTAACAATTGATGCAAATTGTTCAGTGAATTTCCACAGTCTGACATAAAGTTTCTATAAAAAATGCTGGTGTCTGGTCTTCTGAATAGAGCAACAAACCCCGAAGCAAATTACCAGGAAGATAATGGAGCTTAAGCTTCAAGGCTCCTCATTTGAACAGGTCCTTCCAAAACACAATACCTAATTTTCTATTTAGAATTTGTTTTTTTCTTTTTTTTTTTTAAGAGATCAAAAATTATAAAAACTCCAAGCCCCATAAAACCTGCATCCATTCCTAAACCTGGTCTGAGGATTTTAAAAGTCGGAATGCAGGTCATCTTGAGATACTTTGTTGGCAAAAAGGACATCATGTTAAATATGCCAATATTGAAAAACAGATGAGATACTATTAATAAAAATACTTCTACTATCCTCAGGAGCAAGGGGAGGGGAGCAAACTTAAGCTCCAACATGACTTTGACTCTGGTGTATAACATACCTTTAGGCTCATTATCTATTTCAGGACTTAAGGATGGTGACAAATATCAGATTTAGTTTCTTAGCATAACTGGACAGTTTCTTTTCTCTGTCCACAGCATCTTCTGCATGCCCACTGTGCCAGGCACATTTTAAGAGATTAGATCAGCAGTATACAAATCAGGCAAAAATACCTAACCTCATGGACCCGACCTTCTATACACATGACAAGCTTCTGTCCATCAGCAGCCAAGTACCACTCGGCCCATACTTCAATTGTGGCTGCTCAGGAAGGCACATTCCTCTCAGGTGCAGTGCTTCCGTGGACCACCATTTCAGCACCTCTACGGGGGAAAGCGGGAGTGTCTGTGCTGTGGGCACCCAAATGTGTCCCTCAGTTGCCCTGGAGAGGGCATGCCGTTCATCAGCCCTCAAGCAGTGATCTATCTTTGAACACTTATTGGACTTTCTCAAAATCATCTGCTTTTAGCTTTTGCTGATGTGGCATTAAGATCTGGTTTCAATTTCATAAACTATATAAATGTCTACCCAATGTACTGTATACCTGAAACTAATATAAGTAAATCAATCAATTAATTAATTAATTAATAAGAATTGTCTTCAGTGTGGCATTGGCTGGTACAATTTCTTGTGCGTGGCCACAGAAAAAAGAAAAATTAAAATAACTTTTTAAAAGTGGACTCCATGTCCAAATTCATAAAATAAGGCAAAATTCAAAAAAAGTATGTTTCAGAACTCAATTCTAGAACATCTTTAAAGTAATGTGCCATTCTCCTGTAACTGTAAAAAAAAAAAATACAAGTGTAACTCAGTGGCCACTGATAAACACAGATAAGTAACTGAGGAGGTGACCAAGTGAAGCTGTCCACATGAGCAGCAGCAGCTTGACTGTAAATCAGCTACTATAGAGTGGCTGCTTTGTGACATGATTTGGGCTCATGTTTGAAGACACTGTCTTCCTATCCACAGTCACACATTTCCAATTGTACTATGGTACCAAGTGGAACAATGTTGGGCTACTCTGGAGGATGATTTTCTATTTCTTTGAAGTCTCTCTCACCCCACACCTTTCAGAGTATATTCCTTTATTTTAAAGCAGATCACTCCAAATTATGCTTTATATGTGAAAATTACTCAGCCATTCTCAAGAGATGTGATATACCAGAGAACTAGAAACCTAAGCTTTTTTTAGCGTAGTTTCTAGCCAGTTCTACACAACAGCCCATGTATTAATACATAACCTTCATTTTTAGCCTGTAACTCAATTTTAATTTAATCATTTTAGCCCCAAAGGAGAGAATGATTCAGCATCCTTTTCTTCTCTATGGTTTGGAATATCACCTTCTTCATTTCATAACTCTCTACTTCTAAAGTTAAGATTTTTTTTCCCATTCCATAATTATTCTTTTAAAAAATTCTGTGTATACTACACAGAACACATCTTTAGTCCTGGGCTGACACAATTTACTATGAACTGAAAACATTTACGTATCATTCTAGTCTGAATGGCTGGATTTTCTTTTGCCCTTGAAAACCAACCACAGTCACTATTTATTTAGCACACTTGGTCAGATCGCAATGCATGACGAATAACACAGTTCAGCAATTCCTAATTGAAGGTGTTTACAAAGTTTTACGAAGATAGTAAATGGAGTTCTCTAAGCTTATTTCAATATTCGAAAAGCCCAACATATTTTTTCCCCTCAATATTGTCTACCTTTAGGTGAGGAGACTTAAATTCAATGAAGCATTATTCTTCACCACATATTCATTCATCAGAGGCTCTGACTGGTAGCTATAGACCTGATTTTTATTTTTAAAAGAACTAATGAATATACTTTAGTAGACACAATATTTCAAAATATGGCACCCACGGAGATATCAAATTATAATAAAAAAATGTTTTAGGTTGTGAAAGGATTGGGAACGGCTGGTATAGCAGGAAAAAAACATGGTTTTGAAGGTCAGAGGACAGGTTTCTAGCCCTGAGCAACATAATTGTGGACAAGCCACTGCATTTTTTTCTGGGCCTCCATTCTTAAGCTATAAAATGAAGGTCTGACCAGATGATCTCAGAGATGTCTTGCAGCTCTAAAATGTTTCCTTATGGATCTTTATATTATATGTGCCCAAATACCCACAGTCACCTCATTCTTTGCTTAACACTCCATTCTCTCCCAGTCAGATGCAATTAAACCCCAATACCCTGGTAGATAAGGTTCTCTCCCCAACCTAGCTGTTAACGGCCAAGATTGCTAGTTTTCAGTTAGACTCTGCACTTCACACAGGACACCTGAAAGATGCTCTGGAGAAAGGAAAGGAAACCCCAGTTGTGACAGAAGAAACAGAACCAGAAAAAGGAAACAAAGCAGGTCATTTGCTATACATGGTAAACAAACAATGTGACAGCCACTGACTTACCATTAATCTCACAACCAACCTTTGACAAATAAGGTAACTGACTTGCTTAATGCACTGTGATCCACTTATTTCACAAAAATGGAATGCTATGGCTTCAAATCATAAACTTTGAGGACAGAGTTTTAAGTAGCAATATATTCTTGGATACAAAGATTTGAAAGTAAGTCTGAAGAATGATTGGCCTATAATCCTAGACTTGTTAAAATTTAAGAAAAAACTTTTCTCACTAAAATTTTTAAGTGCAGAAAGTGATCTAAGATGCTATATACTGAATGGCATATATGAAAGTTACATTTAGGTAACATTGTCACATTTTCTGTACAACCAGGCAGCTGCTCATAATTAAAACCTAAAAAATATAATCTGAGCAGTTTAATGAGTACAAGTGTCCTGTCTCTAATATTCCAGAATTTCGATTCCATTTTCACCAACTGAAGCTGTCTTATTTCCCATATTTGGGATTCAATTAGAAATAATCACAGAAATCTGAACCCTTTCTGATATGAATTTAATCCTACTTGTATAATATTCATCAATCTGAAGATCGTGTTAAATAATTTACGATAATCAGTTTCTGTGACTTGGAATTAGTTTTAACTAAAACACTTTTAACATGAATCAACATTATTGTAAATATTCTACTTACTTTCATGAAACAGACGTGTTCCCTCTTCTCAAAAAGGCAGAGAAAGTACAACTGAATCACAGACCAACCAATCCGATTATCCAGATAGACTATTTACGTATTTAGCAGGATTTTGCATGTGTGTATGTTTTAATTAAACAGAGTATCTGTTTAGTTAGTCAAGGCCTGGAAAACACTGTCTCAGGTCCAAGAAAGATTTACAGTTAACCAATAACATGTCCAGGATCATTTTAAACCGGAAGCCGCTGTGACAATACTTACGACGTTCAAGACTGCAAAAATGTGTCTCTAGAAAGGTACAGCTTTCCCTGCTTCGTTACACAACCCGGACTCTCTGGCAGCAGTGTCACACTCCGATTCCCAAACGGGAGGCATCCCGTCCCGGGCAAAGAATTAAGCGCCGAAGGTTCTGGTGCAGGATGTCTAACCTGCTGACATTCCCTTGAACTGCAGCTCTTTCCCGGGACACGGCAATTGTAAACAAATTGTAAAGTTTCCCTGATCGAAAGCCTCTGCAAGCCCCGCACTTTGCCCAGGGTGGGCAGGAGAACCTCTCGCCCACCCACAAGCTGGGGCAGACGCGGCGACGCCCCTTCGGAACAAACCGGAGGCCGGCCCGGCCGACGCTCCCGGGGGCCGGGGCCTTTGTTGGCCCGCGGCGGGGCGGCTCGGTTCAAAGTCTGTGAGGCCGCCCACAATGGCTCCCCGGCTCCCCGCACCGGCCTTCCCCGACCCCTCACGTCGGAGCCCCAGCCTGAGGGGAGCCTGCCCCGCAATCAGCCCTACTCACCGGTTAGAAACGGGTCGCCCGGCAGCCATCTTAAGACCTACCAACATCGCGCCTTCTCATTGGCTCTCGCATCTCAGCCAATGGGGTGGGTCCGTTCTGGCCGCTGCGTCGTCATGACAACCGGCCGCGCTCAGCTCTGCTTCTAAATTGGCTGAAGAGAAATGGTTCGTTTCTTCCTACTTGTTTTCTCTCACCGTTTTCGCCTTTCTTCTGGTCGTTTCTTAAGGCTTTGTTGTTTCTCCATTCCCTGCCATACGCCGGTGCTGACCTAGACCTTGACCTGAGTTCGTTCCACGGGGAGGCAGAATCGCTGCAGAAGCTCTCTAGGCCCTTCTGGAAATGTTTCCATTCGTTCATCTTTTCCTCCCTCCCTTCCTTTTTTTCTTTCTGCACATATTTATTAAGCAGGCATCCGGCCCGGTTCTGTTTAGCAGAAAATGGTCCGACTCCTGCTCTCGTGGAGCTTCCCATCTGGTTATCGTCCAAGCTGCTTCGCTGGCCAGCTGTGTGGCCTTGGCCAAAAGCCTGTTTATTGAACTCCTTTTCCGTGGCAGCCAGTATTTTAGGCCCTGAGGAGGGGCTTGGGGAAAGCATAGAAAATAAGCAAGGAAAAAACAACAAAGAAAAAAAAGTGCTATGAATAAGAGAATAACGTGATCATGATGAGAGTGGAGCTATTTTAGAAAGGCTTCCATTTTCTAAAATAGCATTCTGTAATAATAAGAGTATTTCCTATTTTCTAGTGTCATAACGATTATATAAGAAAATACACATAAAGCCTTTAACCTATTACCTGGCACACAGTAATTTTCAGTCTTAGCTATTTGTTGTTATTAACATTATCGATAATGCCTTTCTGTGAAACATTATAAAAATGTATAAAACTTTTTCATGGCACTCAATACCATACACGATTTAGTATAGACACATCTTTAACCTTAATACTTAACTATCCACTGCCTCACTCCCAGTGTCTTCCAGAAGGTGTGCCAAGTTTATGGAATAGTTTTCTGTAATCCCAGAATCATAGTAAAACCTAAATTGACAAGTTGGGGTGACTAGTCCTTTTAACATGCTCACATTCTCTGATTCTACAATAGAAGCAGAGCTGAGCGACTCAAAGATCAGTATGAAATTCTCCTGGCCAAATATGCCCAGTTTTTCAATGAAGTTTTCTCTGAATCCAAATCCTTAAAAAGTTAAGCAGTTAAAGCGTGTGTATGAAAGTGCTGTTGTAGCTGTGGAATTGGGCCTCTTAATTGCTGTATTAGTCAGCTTGGGCTGCCGTAAGAGAATACCACAGACTGGGCTCCTTAAGCAACAGAAATTGCTCCCAGTTCTAGAGTGGGAAGTCCAAGATCAAGATACCAGCAAAATAGGTTTCTTTCTGAGGCCTCTTCTCTTGGCTTGTAAGGCAGCAACCATCTTTCTGTGTGCTCACATGATCTCTTCTTTGTTACATGTATGTTTATAAAGGAGAAAGAGGGAGACAGAAGGGGAGAAAAAAGGAGAGAGGGAGAAAGGGGGGGAGAGGGAGCGAGAGAGCAAGAGAGGGCACTTAGGAGGAGATTAATGCTATCAGGGCCCCACCCTTATGAGCTCATGTAACCTTAATTGATTCCTAGAGTCCCCATCTCCAAATACAGCCACACTGGGGAATAGGGTTTCAACATGAATTTTAGGGATACACAAACATCAGTCCATGAAAATGCTTATGGTGGGAGTATGACCAGAATGGGGAAAGAGAGCAGAGCGGGGAAGAACTGAAACATGGAGCGGGAGGGAAGTAATGTTGACCCATTTAAGAACTCTCTAGACTGTTTCTATGTGTATTCCATCAAAGAACACTCATTTTTTAGTACACACAAATGTTCAAAAAAACTATGTAAGTACTCCAAAGATTTACAAACACCAAGTTTCACATCAAAGTTTTTGGTAAGTCCTTACTCCAAAATATGTATTTTAAAATTTTCTCGATGTAGAGAATTCTCCAATATCTGATTATTTACTCTACGACATTATTGGATTCCTATAATAAATGTAAATAGCTCAGACTTTTCTTTGACTCTGGTTGTGAGACTTTCACTCTCTGAATATTATTGTTTTGCCAGTTTTCTAGGGGAAATGTCAGTCATTTGATTTATTTTAATCAATAAATTTACCTTCCCTTTAGCAAATTCCTGCCCTGGAAATCTGCCAAAACATGCATTTTGTGAATGAAATACTTGTATTTGTGAGATTTTTATGAAACATAGAATTATTGAATACCTTTTACTAAATCATAGTGAATGTGATGCAACTATTGAATTGAGCTTGAATTGTGTTGCATCTGGCACTAATTTCAAACATGTAAGTTTCATTTAAATTATCAAACATATCACAAAAATCAGAAAGCAGTTTTTCTTTGCCAAGAAATATTATAGTTTATGAATAGCTTTCCCTTATATTTTGTAATTTTTTTCTCAGTGTACAGATTACCAGTCACACTCATGTTATAAAAGATTAATTGTGGAGTTCTTTTTGGTGGCTGCTAAATCTCTGATTGATGAAAATTTCCCCAAATGTGAATTCCTTTAAATATTTTCAGTTGGAAAAAGTGAATATGACCTTGTTGAACATATAATAAATCTGTTTCTTGCTGAAACTGAGAAATAGAATAATTAATTTCCATCTGTACAAAATTTCTTATTTTCTGCATTGAAGAAAAAGTGGTCTAGTGACTTACACGAAAGAACAGAAACAAAAGAGTTTTGAATTTTAGGAATTGTGTGACAATTTCTCTATCAGGATTTGTTTTTAAATTTGCAAACCAATGCATCTATAAACGATTGTAGTCTTCCAGGCGTATGCTGAACAACTAACGCAATGACATCGGCAAGAGTGAACATTTGAGGAAACAACATTTCTGTAATACAGGATGTTGCCAAAGAAACGCAATTTTTTTAATTGGTCATGTCTAGTGCTTTCAAAATCTTCTGGTCCAATAGGCTGTGCATTGGAAGAGAAAGAGAACATGAGAGGAAAGCTTACTGAACTTTCCTATATGCTAGGTATTTTGCATCTAATATCATATAATCTTATGAAATAGGTATTATTGTACCCATTTTACAGATAAGGAAATTAAGGCTTCAGGAGTTTAAGAAACTTGCCTAACTTCACACAGCTAGTAACAAGCAAATCTGGGTGGAGAAGTTTCCCTGGACCCTAAAGCTCATGCTCTTTCCACTGTCACTCACTGTCCCTTTTAAGATAAAGTTCCCAGCACAGTACAGTCAATAAAGTATAGACATTATTACTGCCCAGTGGGAGCTCATAGAAAGAGAGGCTTCAGGAGCAAAATGTATCTTCCCTCTCCAATCCCCTCAGGACCTAGTGAGTGATCAAATCC